ACAGAGTGCTGGCAGTCCGTTTCAATGGACTTCGTCTTCGGGTTTCCCGAAGACGCTCACAAGAATAATGGTATTCTTGTGTTTGTTGACCGATTCAGCAAGATGGTCCATCTTGCTGCTGTCCCTGAGTCAATCAAGGCTCAAGGTTGTGCTCGTGTCTTTCTAGACACGGTCTTTAGACTCCACGGGTTACCCCGTGAACTCGTATCCGACCGTGACCCTCGGTTCACGGCGGAATTTTGGCAAACCGTGTTCCGTACTCTCGGAACACGATTGAAGATGTCCACTTCTGACCATCCAGAAACAGATGGTCAGACGGAACGTGCGAACCGTGTCCTCGAAGAGATTCTTCGAGGATATGTCCACTCGTTTCCGAGTTGGAGCGAATTCCTACCCATGGTGGAATTCGCCATCAATAATTCGGTGCATGCTTCAACACAGCACACACCGTTTTACGTGAATGGCCTACGCCATCCACGTGTGCCCACCCTTCTAGAGTGTGACTCTTGGATAAGGGGGGGGAGGGACTCGCTCGAGCAAAAACCGTTTTGGCTCTTGCTCATCACGTGTCGACGCAAACGTCGTCACGTATGATGCCGATGTCGATCAAGTCGACATCGATGAAGAAGATCATCTCAATAATAGCGAAGACGCTATTATTGATTCGGATGATGATGACGATGCTGGTATATTCAGCATCGCCAACGATTATGTCAGCGAGGAAGAAGACAACCTCGCTGAAGAAGAGAGCAATCTCTTAGCAGTGCGCACTAAGCGCACTGCCAGACAAAACAAAGAGTCAGCAGAGAACTTCCTGCTGACTCGAGAAGCGGTAGTCCGTTTCGTTCAGGACTCCATCGCAAATGCGGTGGACCGTCAGAAACGGAACGCAGACAAGAATGGAAGAGCAAATGTTCTTTCATTTAAGGTTAACGACCTAGTACTACTGTCTACGGTAAACTTACCTGGACATGCAGTCACTAGTGTCGGCAGTAGTAAACTACTGCCGAAGTACATTGGGCCATTTCGAGTGTTGCATCGCAAGGGCAATGCATACACACTCGAATTGCCACGTAGGATGCGCACGCATCCTACGTTTTACGTGGGGCGACTCAGGCCGTACTGTCAGTACGAGCCTTCTTCTTCCGATGAAGATAGCCCCCACGTTCAAGAACATCCATCAAGTTCTTGCGTTCGCGCTCCAGACGATCCGTCTGGTCGCGCAGATATGATACCTCGGAACTCAACCGAGATATCTCCCCGCGAGCTGTCGCCAGCTCGCCGTAAAGGGAGCGGACATCCCGCTCGACCTGAAGCTGCGCCGTGGCATAATCGGCGCGATCTCTCGCCCGATCAGCCTCGTTATCCTTGCGGTTCTTCCGCACGGTATCGGTCAAAGCGTAGCGCCGATCGCGCTCGTGCTTCAAGTCATCGCGCAATTCATCGATTGCGCGATCCATCTCGTAAGGGTCGAGATGGTGAACCGAATCATCTGGAGGAGGTCTTTCCTCCTCCACCACATCCTTTGGTGGATGCGCACGGTGATCAACGCTTTCTAGTGGAGCGTATCTTGAATCACCGTGACGATTCAGGATCAAGGACGAGCTACCTCGTCCAGTGGCGGGGGTATCCACCCTCTTGGAACAGCTGGGAGCCCCGCTCTCAGCTGTTGATGGATGTTGAAGGTCTCGTCCGCCAGTATGACGAGACCCATCCGATGAGTCCTGTGGCCCATCGGTAAACACGCGCCCTATGCGCTTGTAGACGGATTGCAAGTTTGCAATCGCGTCACGCATCTCAGCCGAGATGTGTGCCCTTCCCCAGGGTGAATTCAGGGAGTACACATCCCTATGTGCACGCTGCGAGTTGTCAACACAACTCGCACAAGGGTCTCCCCATGTGAGGCAAGGAATGCCTGCCTCACTCGATAAACAATGCAACCGGTACCTAGCACCGGTTGGCGTTCGCCGTTCGAACCTGAGGCGTGTCGCCTCAAGTTTCTTGAGCCACCCTTCTCGTCCAAAATTCTTTACGTTTTGGACGAACGCGTTCCACGCAGCCGAAAGCGATGTTTTGTCACGCTTTTGGTTGCTGTTGTACCATCGATGTCTAAGAAAGACATCGAGATAAAAATCTTCTTCAGCGCGAAAGTTCTTCGCGCTGGAGCTCAAGCCGTGAAGCTCGGTTGCATCGAAACAGGGTATTCGATGGTGTTGGCCTGTCTCGTGAGACAGGCTATTGATGAGCTGTTCGGGCAAACGCCACGGCTTCAACTCATCACTCTTCACAGTGGTACCCTTGTCGGTACCACGGCTCCCAGATTGACGACGGCTCGCGCCATCGTCATCACGCTCGTGCGAAGACGCACGAGCCGGCGGTGGTGAGGAATAGAACTCACCACCCTGATCATCGTCATCACTGCCGAACAGACTGTGATGCAAATCACGAGTCAGCTCGTTCGGCAGTGGTTTTGGCGAATACTGAGGCGTCGCCGGTGAGCGAGACGCCTCTGGAGCATTGCCCGAGTCAGACACGTCTGACTCGCCAGAGTAGATGACCTCTACATCAGGGTCATCGTGCGCACGTGGTGTGATACCGCGTGCACCTGCAGCACCTGTTGCTGAAGGCGAAGAAGGGGCGGCAGACGACGAAGCGTCTGCCGCAGAGGCTTGCACAGCACCAGGCTGTGTGGGTCTTGAGTCACCTCGCATAGACATGTTGACTATGCGAGGTCAAGCGGAAAGTGAATGGAACGGACCCAACAAGTGCTCCCTGTCCCAATGGTGGCCAACGGGTGGCCTCCATATTTTCGATAGTCACACGGTGACTATCAGTTAAGGGGGGTGATGTAACGGGGCAGCCCGTTACATGAAATTGTCACTTTAAGGAAAGTGACAATAAAGAATATAAAGATGGATATTCTTTAAACAATATCACCAAAGTGGTGATATTGAAGGGTCGACCAAAGGGTCTGTTAATTGGTTGATATAGTGATGATATCAACCCACCAATCGCCGCAAGACGCGCGCAATGAGTGGTGACGAGACGTCACCATACATGCAGTTATATTAGTATAATTGAATTAAGTCAAACGAAGAGACAGTAGTTTAAAGACTTAATTCTATTAATGTAGCAGTTCTACTTTTACCCTACCTACGCTTCCTCGCTTGCCACGTGTACGTCCGTCGGGGCACCCAAATCCCTTGCGTTAAGTTACACAAGGGTGTGCCCCGTTACAGTTAACCTGTACGAGAAAATCCAGAAATCAGCGATAGATTTGTGCAAAATTCCAGCAACCAGCACCAGTTCTGAGACAATCCCACGCAGAACACAACTAACAGGGACCACACTATTTGTTTGTGTGGTTTTTTAGTAAAGTTTGGTACGTGTGCGAAACACAAATAAAATCCACAAGATGTCTCCCAAAACGGTGAATATCGACACGGAAGAAATTTACGGTACCAATGTAATGTCGAAGGTACACTTTTTCCAGACGGGCGCTGGTGCAACTACGTTTGTACAGGTCTATTGTTTTAATCATAATCGACGGTGCAAGGTCAAGAGGTGAGGCGGTGGGAGCACAACGTATGTTTGTCCACAATTAGGTGCCCGTGGAAATTCCGCGTGACGAGGCGACAGCGGAAGGGTGCATCTTCTGAGCACTATATTTTATCGCTTAAAGATATTCACGCGGATGTGTGCATCGCGACTGCCAAGCCCTTATCACGGAAAATCAAAATTTGTACAACGTTGCTTTAAATACGCGTGCTATATATTATTATATTGTAATTTCATCATTGCTTACCTGTACAGGAAAGAAATGCATTAAACATTGGCGGGTGCAAACTCAACGGCCTCTGGAATGACAGGTGCAGAAAGAAATGCATAAAACATTGGCGGGTGCAAACTCAACGGCCTCTGAAATGACAGTTCCTTCTACCTGCACTTGCGGAAACTGCTTGATTCGATCATGGAGCGTCCTATATGTTGCTTCCACATTACCATCACATGTCGCCTTACGTCTGATCTCGGCGTTCATTGACGTTATAGCGCGATTTCTAGCTTCCACCTCGTTTGTCAACGTTATCAGCCCTTCTATGCGATCCCTGGTGGTAAATCAAGTAGCAACGGCGTCAGAACCACTTTATAGTACATCAGGAATGGTGCTGACTCTTCGTAATCGACTTGAAAAGAATGAATACGAGGTTTCACGATCTAAATAAACGTCCTTCCGATTACAAGTTTCAGGCATTAAGCAAACAGCGAGATCTAGCACATCAAATGGAGTCAAAGCAACTTAAATCGTGAAATATGTCGGTATTCGTCCCTACACATCGTGCGGTCGATTGTCTACAAGCCGCTGATCGCGCGCTGCGTCCCCTCTTCTTGCACGTGGACAGAAATTAACATTTACTTATTAATTTTTGCTCCTACCACGTGCGGATAAACTAAGATTCAGATAAATGAAAAACCAGATAAATTTACATTCACTCTTAGACCTCATAACCACATAGATTGCTTTCCGCAAGGATGAGAGATCCAACACCGGGCAATGCAGAGGCCTCCGTCCTTCTTCGTAGGCGCTTGTATGTCGCCAAATGAGCACTGAGCCTTCCCTTTGCCAAATAAGAGTGCCCAGTGAGATCAAACCAACGGCTCCTTGGAAATGGAAAGTCTTGTAACCGATCACGCAATTTCATACAATCTGGGAGTTGGGCATTGTGTGTTCCCCATTATTTGTGCTCTGCTTGGGCTCGTCTCAGAAGTAGTGCTGCTTTCTGGAAATTTGCACAAACACTGCTGAATTCTGGATTTGCTCAACCTGTCTCTCGCATCGTCTATGATGCTTGATTTTGTGGTGTGCCCGCATCCCGACTGAAGTGTGTATCACCTGCGATAAGCGCCCACCGTCGTGTCTTTTTTTTCGTTCCTGCAGCAACGCAGCGCCTTCATTCATTCTGCAATTCGACCACAACGCCAAGACACGACGTTTAGTAACCATGAAGACCTCCGTCGTCTTGTACGGCGCCCTGCTCAGTACATCTGTTTTCCTTGCTCAGAGAGAGCCGTGGGAGGAGAAGCCGATTGACTACGATCAAGTTAAGCCGTTTCCTAAGCCAAAGGCCGTGACAATATCCGACGAGTCGAGCGTCAAATCCAAACCTCAACTCCACATTGCAGAGGGAATGTGCCACCCGTACCTTGCTGTAAATGCTGAGGGCAAGACCAGCTCTGGTCACATGCCAACGGGATCTGATGCCATCAAACGACAGGGGCCCACGCTCGGATATCAAGTCTACGGGCGCTCAAATGGCACCGGGGCGTCTTTGCCATTATGTACGCATGGTAGATCCCGGATGACAATTCTATTTGAAAACTTTACGACTTGGACCATACTGTCGTGTGAATCAATAACCCTGCAGTAGAAAACATACGCTTCAGGCGGTGTCGGTATGAGACAAATTTAAAGGCCAATACGTGAAACTAGTCCCACCTGGTGCTAAGTACGTGGACGGGCCGAGCGTCAAACTGAAGTATGAGATATGTGGTCGCAACCCCCACGATCGGCTTCACACATGTGGCTAGTCAGTCCCAGCCACTGATCACGTGGATTCAGATTCTCGACAATGCCCGCTTTGCACTCAATGCCGTTGTCTGGAACAAAACGTTCATGCCTCTGAGCGACTCACGCTCCACTACCGCCTTTGAAAATGCCTGGTCTTTTGCTCCGGTGGAAAATCTCTCTTCGCCTCGACGCGCTGGAGAATGCGTTGGTCCGACTTGTGAGCGCTCTCGACCTCAAAGCCGCTATGTATGCTGTATGCAAAGACGGCAGAAAGAAAGACGTTACTTCAACTACTGGATGGATTTCTACTCAAAGCAATGGTTGCTACGCTTACGTCGTTATTAGATCTTACCACGTTAGTGACTCTTTTTCGATTGTTGTTGAGTCTACTGTTAGTGCTTACCTTTAGCCATTAGTGACAGGCGACTACAAGATGCATAAAAAGCGGTCTGCCGCTCAAATACCAAGCAGATCGCGTCCATGTATATACCCTGCTGGCTCTCGGAACTACTTCGTGCTCGAGCAGCGGCACAAGCTCGATAGACAACCGACCAGATTCACTGGTATGCACCGCGATGCCTACACAAGCCGTCATGCTCACGAGTTTCGCTCGACATAGCTCGTTCCGATATCACTTGTGCAGGTTTTGGTGACGAAAAGAGATCTAGCGCAAGTTTTGTTTGAAAAAAAACGCGTACCATTTGTCGCCGCGATCAGCCTTGCTTCAGCACAATGATGAAGGTAGCGTTCGGGAACTGTACGCTCAAAACCGTAGGTCAGGCGGTTTTGGTAGCGACAGCAACCTTTTCGCTTCTGAGACCTGGCACAGTGGCCACTATAAAGAGTCACGCCTTGTTGTACTCTATCTTTGGTATACAAGCTGCGGCGAAAATAGCAATTGGCAACGCTGGCTCCGATTCTTGTTACCGTCCTGTATTTTTAGCAGGGCACTGTGGGGTGGGCTAAGTACTGACAACCGTTCGTATCGATCTCCCACTGACTACAGTAAGAACTAGTGCCCTTGTTAGATTCCGGACTCTATACGCGTTCAGAGAAAGACTGAGTACATACACCCAAATTTCGCAAGAGAAAGGAAAACTGTAGTAGTATATTTATGTCCTGAATTGCGTCTTGACTATTAAGTCCTAACTTAACTATATAAAAATTAAAGCAGGTATAGTGACGTCTACTCACAACCCATTGCGCGCGTATGGCAGCGAGTGGTGGGTTAATATAATGGCATATCAACCAATGACTAGAAACTTGGGTCAGCGCAACAATATCACTGAACTCAGCGATATTGTTGTGATGATAGTAGACATAATACTCTCTATTATCATATTAATAAAAATGATAAAATTATGTAGCTGACTCACCCCGTTGTACCCACCTAAACGATAGTCACACTAGTGACTATCTCGATTGATGTATCCCTTTGTGGAACAATATGGTAAACGGAACACTTGTTAAGTCAGATCCATTCATTTCTGACCTCGCATCGCATGGTTATCAAGCCTATGCGATGCGAAGCGAAAGCCGCAATGCACTCAGCTGCTCGCGTAAACGCGGCCGACAATTCGTCATCTGCTGATCCTTGTTTACCTGAAGCACATGTTGCTGCAGGCGCACGTGGTAACGCACCATGTGAAGCTGGTGGTTTCGATAGAGAGCTCAAACCTAAACTGACGAGTCGGATGAAGCGTTCGACTCAGTGAAAGGCACGATACTGCCCGGATCAGCGTGGTGGCTATTTTCAAGTCTTTGAGTGAGAAGGCTGGGCCAAACAAGATAATTCATTAGTTGCATCATAGTCTGTTTATTCGGAGGATGAGTCTAATTACTCATCAGATTCGCCTGTGTCGGCGCAGTCGCAGTCGCGGTATTACGATGATGGATCGCGCCATCGTGGTATCAAAGTTTGCGGTACCACAGCCTCTGTTGGTACCACATCAGAGAATCCTTTTGTACAGCGAGTCTCTGATGGAGAGCCGTGGCTTCTGACATAGAGACTGATCATCAGCTTGCCCAATGAGACAATCAAACACTAACACATTCCTTTACTCGATGCAATAAGCTTCACGTCATTGTCATCAGCGCGAGCAGCTTTCGCGCCAAAATGAATTTTTATCCCGATGCTTCAAGCTTCACGTCCTCGTAATCAGCGCTAGCAGCTTACGCGCCAAAATGGGTTTTTATTCCGATGCTTTATGGAAACATCGGCGGTACGGCGGGAACCACAAGCATGATTAAATGTCGCTGTTGGTCGGTCGATAATAGTACATCCGCAATGTCCAAGACATTGGGCGCGATGCACGGCTGCGAAATTTGATACGGCACGTATCAGTTTTGAGAAGGGAACCCCATTCGATGCTCGATTACACTACACCAGTCGTCTCGTGAGGTATGCATTCATTTCCTTACTTGAAATGAACCATGTTTGAGCTGTGAAGACAACTCGTTAGCTTGCCCATAGGTAACTATACTCTTTTCATTCGCCCTGGGGAGGGTTTTAGATCTCGCCTGAGATACGCGACGCAATTGTTAACTTGCGATACGTATATAAGCGCGCTGGGTGCGTGTTTGTCGAAGTGATTTCTGACTCATCAGATATGCCTGGTGGTAATGTTCGACCAGGCCCGCAACATCAATCAATAGCTGGGCACGAGGACCTAAGCTGTCGTGCGAGGGTAGATCTTCCCGCCAGCAAACGAGATAGATCTTCCGCTGCCCATCAAATAGGTTTGTATGGGACACTCTCCACGTGAAAGCGTTGGCCACCATGAAAGTCCACCAGCGGCTGTGGTGCAGGCGGGAAGACCAGATCCGACTCAACTGTCGGAGCTGCAGGAGGTGGTAAGCCGACACGAGAGCGACCTCTGCGAGTTATAAAAGGACGTTCGACACAAAGGCAAGCTTCGTCGTATGTTATCGACGACGGTGAGCACTACCGTGACGATCGTGCGGATACACGAGCGCATTATGGGGTCTCCTAACTGGAGGACGAATGGAAATCTCGTCACTTGCGCGACGAACTGGAGCAAGCTCGTCGCGAGATAGCGTCGGTAATGACACCACTCGAGCGTTTAATTTGCTACCACAAGGATCTGTTGGGAACTCTTGATCGTTTTGGATGTCTCCGTTCTCAAAGAGGCCGCTTACTGATGATACGGGCAGATACGGTCAACATAACACGTATGATGTGTTCGGATCCTACGAGGCAACTCGGTCGTGTATACAATTCCCCGTAGATGCAGTACACGGAACGAACCGATAAATTTGGGCAGTATTTTACTTTTGCCGACATTTGTGACTGCATATTTAGGTAAGTTACTCGAAGACAGTAGCAATGGGTCAGTAACCTAGAACGTTGGCTCTTCCATTCTTATCCGCATTCCGTTTCTGTCCATCCACCGCGTTAGCGACGGGTTCGTGCATGATACGGACCATTAATTTTTGGGTCCGACGAAATCTCTCTGCTGATTCTGTTGTGTTTGTATTTGTGCACTTCGTCTGCACTACTAATCGACCTTTCTCTTGTTCAGTTAGGGTGTCATCATCCTTTCTGGAATCGTCATCGAGGAAGGAGGTTGATACTATCATCGTCGTCGACAACAGCGACAGTAATAGCGGAGTTGCAATTACCATGGTTGTTTTCGTCTTCATAGGTGAATTGGTTGACATCGGCATCGTACTTGACGACGCTCGCATCGACACCTAATGAGCAAAAGCCAAAACTGTTTTTTGCTCAGGCGAGTCTCTTCTCCACTCGAACGTGAGTCGCACTCTAAAGAGAGAGAATGTGTATATGGCGTATGTCATTCAAGAAAAAGGGTGTAAGCTTTGGGGGCGTATGCACTGAGTTGTTGATGGCGAGCTCGATCATCGGCAAGAAGTCACTATAACTTGTAAACGAGTAAAGTTATCCTCAAAAATCTCTTGAAGGATACGATTAGCACGTTTCATCTGACCACCAGAATCGGGATGGTTAGATGTTGAGATCTTTAAACGCGTCCCAAGCGATCGGAACACGGATTGACAAACTCCGTTGTAAAGCGAGGGTCACGGTCGGACACGAGTTCACGGGGTAACCCGTGGAGTCGACATCTGTGTCGATAAAGACACGGGCACAGCCCTGAGCCGTGATCTACTCGGGGTTGCAGCAAGATGCACCATATTGCGTAACCGGTCAACGGAAACAAGAATTCCACCAATAGTGAGGTCGTTTTTAGGAAAACCGGAGACAAAGTCCATTAAAACGGACTTTCAGCACTCTGTCGATAGAGGTAGAGGCTGTAAACGCGCACGAAATGAATGCGTTTGATCCACCCGTTGACAAAATCCGTCATCACATATGTACTTCGCACAAACTGGTACTGGCGGGGCAAGTAAAAGTCACAACATACTGAAAGGTAAGTCTTTTTACGACCACGGTGCTCATTTTTAGAATATATTGACACTTATTGATTATGCGCAAGCGCGAGCAATTTTGAGCGGTAACGACGACACGAGAAGTGTCGTCGGCAACGGCTGTATAATCCAACAACCCATTATTGTTATGTATCGATGAGGAACGAACAGCAACCCATTGCGTGTTGTGTACCGATTCAGTGAGAAACGATTCAATGGCGGTAAAGTTTTGCAAGATTATCGGGATGGATCGACGAGGTGATCTACCAAACGCAGGAGATCCTAATAACCTGCGTAGGCTTTTCTAACGTTATCAATCAGTGATGACGACTAAACAATAGCGACAAATGTCGCAACAAAGGGATTGATCTCATTGCATAAAGACGCAGCCGTCTCGAATTTGGGGCGGCGCAAAAGCGTATTAGCGACTACATTTATTCTTCCTGGATTGTGTTTCACGTAGAAGTTATGCTTCACAAAAAGTACAGCCTTGTCGCCATTCTTTGCGAGAGTTGTGGACTGTGTGCGGCCGGGCGTGATGACGCATGGTCCGTATACACAACAAACGGTCCATCTCCCCCCTCAGATAGGCACGAAACTTAGTCAGTACGTATTTCATGGCAAGCGATTCCTTGTCTTGCAATTAGCAATAAAGCTCGTCTGCTTGAATTTGACGCTACTGATAGCAAATGACGCGCTCTGCGCCGTCTGTATCTAATTGCATCAACGCTCATCCGATTGCAAAATCGCTGACGTCACAGACCACATGGAACGGTCTGTCTTGATCTGCTACCGCGAGTATTGGGCTATCGTATCTGGCTCTGCTTGATAACTTCGAAGGAATGCTAAACGTCCGTGTTCCATAACCACTTCACGTTTTCTTAAGTGAACAAGATTATACACAGTCATCTCGGAGTAGTTGCGCGAGACCTTGTGCAAGTACGCCGCTAGGACAAGGAACTTCCTTAGTCCCTTCAATTCGACTGGCACAGGCCAGTCGGGGGTAGCCTTGATCTTTTCGGGATCAGGGCGTACGCCGTGTTTACCCACGATGCACCCAAGAAGTGGTATTTCGCTAGCCGCGAATATACACTTCTTGATGTTGGCGTACAACTTATACTTGCGCATAAGTTGAAGAATCTGACGAACGTGTGTTCTGTGAACTTCAACGTCCGTCTTTCCGTCCATAGCCCGGCTATGGACGAACACATCGTCGAAGTAACTCGGTGCGAAGTCTCGCACCGGTCTCAACAGATTTGTTACACATCTGTTGAATGTTGCAGGGGCATTACTAATCCCCTGTGGCATCACTAGCCACTCCCACAGAATACTGATTGGGGTTCTCACTGCTGTGTACAGGGTGACCCGTTCACGCAGGAGGACCTGATAGAAGCCATCCATCAAATCCATGGACGAGAAGATGGAACTCTTAAACATACCATCCATAATTACGTCCTTCCTCGGTATCGGCGTCCGAGCCGGTACCGTTGCAGCATTAAACTTGTTGAATGCGTGCACTATCCGCCATCCTCCTGTGGCTTTTCGCACACAGAAGGTCGTAGAGCTGTGGGGGAATTTTTATTCCCTCACATGGCACGCTGCAAAGCGA